CAAGGAAGACAAAAGAACATCTATACGTTAGTTACATCCGCCCTATATTGACATATGCATGTGCCACATGGGCAACAACGAAAGGTGATGATGAAAAACTACGGTTATTTGAGAGAAAAGTTCTTAGAAAAATGNGTTATTTGAGAGAAAAGTTCTTAGAAAAATTTATGGACCCGTATTCAACAATACAGAACAGAAATGGGAAATAAGAACAAACGCCCAACTGTACCAGCTTTACAAAAGAGAAGATGTGGTCCAATTCACCAGAGGGACTAGGATAGAATGGGCAGGCCACGCATGGCGGGCCGATGGAAGTATATTGAAAGGAGCAATGACATATATGGTAAGCGGAAAAAGACCAAGGGGAAGACCGCGAAAAAGATGGAAGGACAGCGTCAAGGAATTATTAGAAGAAATTGGAGTGGACTTGGAGCAGGCATATGATAGAGAACGATGGAAGGAAGTAGTTTTGGCGGCCAAGAGTCTAAATGGCTCGTAAAAGCCCGAAAAAAAAAAAAAAAAAAAAAAAATTTGACTTAAGTAAAAAGAAAATTTAACTAGGTTAAATGCCTAGTAATTTACTAATTTTAAATAAAATAAAAACAGTAATAACTAAACAAATGTTAGATTTTGTTATTTATTTAATTGTTATTTTATTTATACATTAAAAAAGTTACCCTAAGAAAAATTTCAGTTAAAAGTAATTTAAAGCAAGTTATGATAACAAGCTGAGAAAATAGCCAAATATCTAAATATGGTACACACTTAGCTATTATCTCCTTAAAAAAATTCACTTTTCATTATACTACATCTCACCAAAATCTATAATTGGAAACTTGAAATATGTTTTACTTTATTGAAAAAGTTGTTATCTTTCTAAATACACAAAATAAATTTAACTCATAGATATATTTCTACAGAATTATAAAAAACCAAAGTTAAAAAAAAAAGTTATTACTCCTCTTAAACATGATATTTTTTGGTTAAATTTTTTTTTAATATTTATATTTTATTTTAAAGAGATTTTTCTTTAAATATTAAAATAGAGTAGATATTTTTAGCAAAATAATACAAAACATGATAAAGAGAGCTCATAGTTTTTTATCTACCCTGCGCTTAATAATAGTAGAGGCCTTTTGCCAAATTTTTTTAACTTCTCGTTGAAGTTAACAATCAAAGAACGATAATACAAAAAAAACCTCAAAATAATTCAAAAATTTTTAATGTAAAGTATTTAAGTTTAATAAAATTAATTTTTTTAAATTTAGTTTTTAAAGATAAAATTTTTATAAATTAACGACCAAATATGACAAAAGGCTGTGTTGTATAATACGATTTTAAATTTATATACAAATTTTTTATTTTGACCAGATCATAATTGGTCAAAATATCATTGGTCAATTAATATCTTGGCAACACTACTTTTTACTAATCAGGAATTATGATTGCGTAAAAATGTTTAATCAAATACATTTATACATTTATTTACTAAACTATTTTAAGAATACAAGGTCTACTAGTTAAATAATTAGAATTTATTAATTAAAAATTTAATTATCAACTATTAGAAATAAAGTAAAAAGCTCATTTTCTTTGTAGGAAATATAAATAAATGTGAAAAAATATTATTTCTGTTAATTCGTTTGATGACTGAGTCTTCTGATTTTTATAAAGTTTTAGACCCTTTTTAAAAATTTTTAAATTTTTCATAAAGTCAATTTTATTTTCTAATTATTTTGCGTGATGATTTATAAATTCCGATAATTAAAAATAGATTATCATTAAATTATAATAATAAAAAATAACCGATTCTTATTCAAACGTACCTTCATAAAAGTACGTCTAAATAAAGTGTACAAATAATTTATACAAGTTATACAAATAAAGTGTATACTATTTAGAGTATAATATACACTATATGCCATATTATATACAAGGGAGTAATGTAAAGTAAAACAAAGCATAACATTTTTTTAAACCACGAATTAAACTGACATACAAATATAAGGACTATAAAGGAACATACCCAACAAGCCTTAGCTAGGATTATAAATTTTAAGATGTTCGGAAAAATAATTTAATTTTATGAAACTAAGGGAGTATAATTTTATGCTTTTGCTTAAATCAGGAAAATTGTAGTTTTTAAATATTATACTTCTTTTAGTAAGGATAAAACAATGTTTGATTTGGAAAATATTGAAGAGTTGTCAGAATATAATAATCAGGCTGGAGGTCATATTTTTAGCAAGAAAAAACCATTTTTAGGTTTGTAAATATTACTTAAATATTTCTACTATAACAGCTTCAATTAATTAAAAACATATAATTTTAAGGATTTTTAAAGTTCAAAGGAAAATATGTTCTCAAATCTCCTGGAATTGATGCAAAAGGAATGAATGAAATAAATTTCTATGAAGATATTCATAAGTCGGATTTATCGTGTTTTAAAAAACTAATTCCAAATTACTATGGACTTATAAATTTAAAAATAAATAATATAGGTGTGTATAACACTTTTTAGCTTCGATGCGAAGCTGAGAAGGTATTGGTTTTACTAAGATGTGTTTTTTTTTTTTTTTTTTTTTTTTTT